CTAATGCCTTTTTCATATTCTGTGTCTGAACATTTTTCTCATTTGTCCTTATTGCTGATGTAATTTCTATAGTTGAGGATATAGAGGCAAAAGAAACTCAGTTTCTCCTGCTAAAATTCTTACAACACAGAATGCTTCTGACACCAAGTGCATGGGGTTTTTCCACACACTGAACAAGCAGTCCTTCAGCAGTGGACACCAGCTGTATCCTCAACTCAGTTCTGACGCTACTTGGAGGCAGCGTCACTTCCTACAGGTGTAGAGCTCAGTCCCACAAGACTGCCCCACTTCCGACGCCAGTTGCAAGTCCAGGCTTCTGGAACTTGTGACCAAACAGCTATAAATTGAGGTTCCCACAAACCCCTCCCTAAGTTCAATTAATTTGCTAAAGCAGATCACAGAACTCAGAGAAGCAATTTACTTACATTTACTAATTTATTATAAAGAATATTTTAAAGGACACAAATGAATAGCATAGGAGCTTCCATCCCTGTGAATTGGAGTACATCAGTCTCCCAGCACATGGACATGTTCTTGTTCATCTTCCTGGAAGCCCCTCACCTCAGTCCTTTTAGGTTTTATGGAGGCTCTATTACATACATGTGACTGATTAGATCATTGTCCATTGGTGACCAGCTCAACCTTTAACCCTTTTCCCCTGCCTAGAGGTTGAGGGGGGGAGAGGGCTGAAAGTCCCAACCCTTTAATAATGCCTTTGTCTTTCCTATGACCAGCCCCCATCCTGAAGCTATCTAAGGGCTGCCAGCCACCAGTCAATCATTAGCATACAAAATGACATTTATTCCAAGGATTTTAGGAGTTGTATGCCAGGAAACAAAGGGATGAACTCCAAATATATATTCTTCAATATCACAATAGTATAATTATAATAGTATGTGGCTTCCAGAGCTGATTTTAGTTATTTTATTTGTATTTTTGCTTTCTGTTACGGAAAATTTCAAATCATAACAAAAGTAGAGAAAATAGTATGCTGAATCCTATAAACTCACCACCCAACTTTAATATCTTATTTCATCTATTCCTTCCCATTCTCCTTTACCCCACCTCGGATTATTTTGAAGCCAATTCCAGATATCATATCTTTTCATAAATATTGCAATTTCTATCTCTAAAAAGTGTAGACTTTTAGAAAACACAACCATATAAGCATACCTAAAAATGACAGTTACCTAGTCATCTGTAATAAGTAGTATATTCTTGGATTGCCTACAAACATCTGTAGTTCTTCCCTTATCAGAAATTATTGTTGAACAATTCTCAGTGTATATTCCTCCCACCAGTGTTATCTCACCTCTGACTTCACGTTCTAGGAATAAAGTGTCTTATCAGAGCTATTTCCGTTCCCAGTCATACTCTTTAGCTAGGAATTACAGCTCTAGTATTCATATAGAAAACATTTTAATTGGGGAGAAGAGAGGAAAAACAGCTCTAATCATTCTTGAAAGCAGGCCCTGTATGTGGGTGAGTTGGACATTGGATGCCTGGCTCTGATGTTAGGGATAAGAAGCAGAGGTTTAATGGCTACAGAGTTCTTACTGTAATTTTGTTGCCTTGAGGCTTCATCTGAGTAGTAATTACTAGAAATTCTTCTTTTCTGGCTGAATATTGATCAATATTTCTGATGCTGTTTAAATTCTACATATCTTTTCATGTTTTCCTGAGTAAAAGATGGAGGCAGGCAAACTGAGCATGTTAAATTAAGTTTAGCCGGAAGCTGCCTCCATACATATTTAAGTTCAGCCTAAAAGTTTCTCCATACATAGTGAACTATAACTAACTTGATGTCTGACCAGACTGTAACCTGCTCTTGTACCAGTCACAGCGTTCGGCCAATCACAGCGTTCAGCCAATCACAGGCCACCAACTATTGAAACCATGTTTAAATAAGGCAAATGCTCAGCTGTACTCAACCCAGCTGTTTCTGTACCTCACTTCTGTTTTCTGTGTGTCACTTTCCTTTTCTGTCTGTAAATATCATCTAACCATGTAACAGCCCTGTAGTCACTCAACTATTTTGGTTCTGGGGGCCACCTGATTGGCAAATCATTCTTTCTCAGTGAAACTCTTAAATTTGTCTAAAGTTTTTCTTCTAACAGGCATCACTAATTTTTTCTCCTGATAAACCTAAGCAATGCACTTTAGAAGACCTCATTCATAGTTCAGAAACATTGCTTTATTAGTTTTCTTGCTTTTTAAAAATCCAGTGTCTTAAAATTTTAAGAGAAAAAAATAACTTCAACTAAAGATCTGACAGCCATTTCTAAAACATATCCAACATGTATGCATTAAATTTAATTACAGCCATTAAAGAATAGATTTTTTTTTCCCTTAACTACTGTTAAAGAAAAAATTATACCTGGCACTTATCAAAGACAGTAAGGATGACTGTAATCAAAGAGGTATAAGAACAGCTGGTGGGATCTCACTGTAGTGGGGAGCAGTGGGGGTTGGTAGTAGAAAGTTTCTAAGAGGAAACATCAGGGGTAAGGAGGTTCTCACTAGAGCGACGCAACAGAGCTCTTGCTGAAGGCAGACCAGGGTGACAAGATACTGAGGGGGGGAGTGAGGGCAGATACAAGACTGACTTAGCAAGATTCTTGCTCAGAATGGATTTTGTAAAGACAGAGGGAAGCCCAAGGTTGGGCCTCCTTGAGCAGAGGACTCAGGGGAGCCTGACTAAAGTTTTGGTCAAAGGAAAGAGTTTTTGCCACTAAATAATGGTTTTAACTAAAATCGCTACATTTTCCATGTATAGATTAACAGCTTTTAGATAATTGGTAGACAGTAGGATTATTTTTAACCAATTCTATACCGGCCATAATTAGTTTTCTTTGATGACTTGAAAGCACCTTATTTTTTATAAGATTAAACATTATTAAGTCCTGTGATGATATAAAATTAGAGCTTTCTGGAAATTGTAGATAAATGGTTTCCAGTAATAATTAATGTTTAACAAAATTCAAGATTTGTTTTTTTTCAGGCCGAGCGAGCATGGTGGCTCACGCCTGTAATCCTAACACTCTGGGAGGCTGAGGCAGGAGGATTACTTGAGTTCAGGAGTTCGAGACCAGCCTAAGCAAGAGCAAGACCCCGTCTCTACTAAAAGTAGAAAAATTAGCCAGGTATCCTGGTACGCACCTGTAGTTCCAGCTACTCGGGAAGCTGAGGCAGGAGGATTGCTTGAGCCCAGGAATCTGAGGTTGCTGTGAGTTAGGCTGACACCACAGCACTCTAGCCTAGGTGACACAGCGAGACTCTGTCTCAAAAACAGAAAAGAAAAAAAAAGATTTGGGTTTTTTCTTTAAACATCATAATATTTAAACAAAATTCAAGATTATATATAAAGGGCCTTGAATTAAGTCTGACTTGTGTATATTTTTAAAAATAAGTAGAACTATAGAAAGAGAATTAGTAGGAAAAGCTGCTTATGTAGCAAAATGGCAATGTTAAGTATTTTAGTCATTTTTGATTATGTATATCAACCCTATTTATAGTAATCTGGTGTAAGTGAAAGTGGTAATATGTTTAAGGTTTAAAACATGTAGAAGGCCCTTGGTGCCTTTTTTAAAGTCCTATGTAGGCCTCTTAGCAATCAGTGCCTACAACTTAAAGCATTGGAGCAGTAACCTAAAAAAGATATAGTCTCTTTAATACACAGTTGCTCACTTTAAGAATCCAACTGGTAAATCAAGTATCTAATTAAATATTCTTAAGAGCTATTGATGTTTTATAAGCAGTAAGGTTTTGCTTTAAGGCATTTTGAAAAAGTGAATTTTTTGCTGTGCTGTGTCAGAATATAGTAGTATAGTAATTTCTACTAGTTTACTCCTATTTGGAATTCCCTTTTCAGTTAAAGAATTTATGCCAGACTTTCCAATAATGTTTCAGGAGCAATATACTGATTATTATTTTACCTTTTATCTAAGAATATATTTATATTCTCATAGTAGTTAATGTAGGGTGTGTTACCAAGAGGGAAAGGGTTTTTGCAGGATTTACAGTAACTTATTATGGTCATGAATGATTAATAAATAGTTTTAAGAACAAAGCTTGAAAGTATAATTTTTGCTTATTTGTGCTTTTATGTGTTTTCAGAAATTTTATTTTTTTTTATTTATTTTTTTTTTGAGACAGAGTCTCGCTTTGTTGCCAGGCTAGAGTGAGTGCCATGGCGTCAGCCTAGCTCACAGCAACCTCACACTCCTGGGCTCAAGTGATCCTCCTGCCTCAGCCTCCTGAGTAGCTGGGACTACAGGCATGTGCCACCATGCCCGGCTAATTTTTTCTATATATTTTCAGTTGGCCAATTAATTTCTTTCCATTTATAGTAGAGACGGGGTCTCGCTCTTGCTCAGGCTGGTTTCGAACTCCTGAACTCGAGCAATCCGCCCACCTCGGCCTCCCAGAGAGCTAGGATTACAGGCCTGAGCCACTGCGCCCGGCCAGAAATTTTATTTATTTATGTATGTTTTTTAGAGACAGGGTTTTGCTCTGTTGCCTGGACTGGAGTGCAGTGGCCCTATCATAGCTCACTACAGCCTTGAACTTCTGGGCTCAAGTGATTCTCCTGCCTCAGCCTCTGGGGTATCTGGGACTATAGGCACACATCAGTGTGTCTGGCTAATTTTTCTTACCTTTTTTAGAGATGGGGGGGTCTCAGTCTATTGCCCAGGGTGGTCTCGAATTCCTGGCCTCAAGCCATCCTCCTGCCTCAACCTCCCAAACTGCTGGGATTATTGGCAAGAGCCCCTGTGCCTGGCCTGTTTTAAGAAATTTTGATGTTGAATATGTTTTATTTTTTTGAATAAGTATTCAAAATATGGCAAATGCAAAGAATAATGCTCAGGTATTAGTGTTATCCCTGTGTTTCTCAAATTAATTATATTGAGCAGAAATGTCAACCTTGCTAATAACCTGATTCAATTTATACAGCTTTCTATTGGAACTTCTAAATTTGTTTGTTTTTTGTTCTTTCATAGGTGTTAGATCCTGAGCAAAACCATAACTTCACAGATCATTATCTAAATGTGGCCTTTGACCTTTCCCAAGTTCTTTTTATAGCTACTGCCAACACCACTGCAACTATTCCAGCTGCCTTGTTGGACAGAATGGAGATCATTCAGGTTCCAGGTACTTGACTCTTAAATAAAATGATTTTTTTGATATATCTTGCCTTTCTGAGCATAACTCTTTGAAATTGGTCAATCTGTGGAGTTTTGAGTAAAGTTGTTCATTTACCAACATAGAATCTTCAAAAATTCTGAGTAAGGTATATAATTCAGCTTTTATGTAGCTTCAGAGTCTGAAACACCAAAGCTTTATTTGTTTTAACCATGACAAAAATACAATCATGTGTCACCTTAACGACAAGGCTGTGTTCTGAGAAATGCATGTTTAGGCAAGTTCATCATTGTACACACATCATAGAGTGAACTTACACAAACCTAGATGGTATCGGCTATAGTTATAGGTATAGCCTGTTGCTCTAGGCTACAAACTTACACAGCATGTTACTGTACTGAATACTATAGGCAGTTATAACACAATGGTAGGTAGTATCTGTATCTAAACAGAAAAGATACAGTAAAAATATGATCTAAAGATAAAAATTGGTACATCTGTGTAGGGCACTTATGAATGGAGCTTGCAAGACTGGAAGTTGCTCTGGTTGAGTCAGTGAGTGGTGAGTGAATGTGAAGACCTAGGGCATCCGCTGTGCACTGCTGTAGACTTTATACACACTGTACATTTAGCCTACACTAAATTTATTTAAAAATTTTTCTTCAGCAGTAAACTAATATTAGCTTACTATGACTTTTTTACTTTATAAGCTTTTTAATTATTTTAACTTATTAAACTTTTTTGTTAAAAATTAGACACAAATATACATTAGCCTAGACCCACACAGGGTCAGGATCTTCAATATCACTGTCTTCCACCTCCACATCTTGTCCCACTGGAAGGTCTTCAGGAGCAACGACACACATGTAGCTGTCATCTCCTGTGATAATAATGCCTTTTTCTGGAAGACCTCCTGAAGGACCTGCCTGAGGCTGTTTTATAGTTAACTTTTTTATTTAGTAAGTAGAAGGAGAGTACGCTAAAATAATGATTAAAAAGTATAGTAAATATGTAAATCAGTTACAAAGTCTTTATTAAGTATTATGTGCTGTACATAATTGTCTGTGCTATGAGTTTATATGACTGGCAGCACCACAAACACGTGAGTAATGCTTTGCTGCGGTGTTACCGTGGCTACATCGTCACTAGGTGATAGGAATTTTTCAGCTCCATTATACTGTTATGCGACCACCACTGTATATGCAGGCTATTGTTGAACAAAACATCCTTATGCAACACATGACTCTGTGTGTTCTGTAAGATATCAAGAATAAATTTTGACAACAATTTCAAATTTGATTTAGCATTAAAAAATGATCACTTTGTAGAAAACAATTTGAAACAATTTCTGAATTTGAAACAATTCTAAAATTGTTTGAAACAATTTCTAAAATTATAGATAAAAAGTAATTTCTTCAAAGTAGGTGTCTAAAAACTAAATAAAGATCTTTACATGGTCAGTTTAGCTTTCTATCTGTCAGATTTTTAAGTCTTCACCATCTCTCTCTGGAAAATGTTGTGTAATCATTTACTTAAGAGGTGGTTCCTATAGAATAAACTTTCTGCTTATTAAATCTGGCCTCAGTTTTATATAAAAGTGCATGATGCTTTTAAATTCACTTCTTTTTAGTTGGATCTGTAAAATACTTGCCATATTTCTTATGTCTTCTCCTTCACTGGAATGTACAAAATAAAGTCCTTCAGTTACTAGCACTAAATAAGTTCTAGTATTTTTATCTTATTTTAATTGTTCAGAATTGTTTTTCCCTAGAAGAGATCAAATATCACTGGATGTTTCTAAAAATGAAAATTGAGTAGAATCTAAATGTATTTTTCCTGTTAATCTGAAATATATTTTTACTAAGTAAATAATAACTAGGTTTCTTAATTATCTGTGAACACTGCAGGTTTCTATATTTAGTTTTAAAATACAGTGTAGTAAAAAGTTGATTGTGTGTATTTATGAGACTAAAATAAATAAGTAATGAGATTTAACTGCCTGGGAATGCCAAATTATGACAGAATATCCATAAGATACACTGAAGTAAAGTGAAGTAATCAGGACAGCTGCCACAAAAGCGGACATAACAGTGCCACCTTCTGCCTTTGGCAGATTTGGTCATCCAGTCTTCTAGCTTTTCTGGTGTTTTTTAACCTCTTCTCTCCATTCAAAAGATGCATTATCAATTCATATTTTTAATGTTTGCTTGTTAAACAGAAAGGGGGCATTAGTTTAGGTGGAATTTTGTCTTACAGGATTTTAAAACAAGGTAAATCTGTACTCATGGAGCCTATTAAATAAGAATATAAAGTCTTTTAAATATACTGTTTTTTATTTATTTATAAGTAAATAAATCTATAAACATGTGAAAGGAAAAAACTTTTATAGGGACATCTTAGGTTTTATTTTGTTTTGTTGGTAAATGTATAGTCATAGTTCTAGAAATAGCTCCTTTGGCGCCCTTCCCTTGGAACCCACTGCTTATTTAATTGAAGTATGTGTGTGTGAGTTTGTTCAAGTATGTATCAACTATGCTAAAGAAAAGGGATACCTTTATTTTCTTATTTAAAATGTTAGAGGATTTGAGGATAAGGAGATAATTAACTCTAAGGTGTTTTTTTTGTTTGTTTGTTTGTTTTAACTCTAAGGTTTGACTGAAATTTTTTTTCTCTTGGAGAGATATATCATTTCATCAAAAGACTTTCAAGCACTGCACTTAGTAAATGGTTGTTGTTTATGAAAAAGTTGGAAATTTTAACAATTATTAATTGTTAAATTAAGATTAAATTTATTTATCATGATTATAGTTTTAGTTCAAGTAATACTTAAATCCATTGAATCTGTATTTGATTCATTTTTAAAAGCATGGCATTGTGGGAGCCACGTAAATAATGACAACATAAGATCGCTTCTTTTCCAGGGTATACACAAGAGGAGAAGATAGAGATTGCCCATAGGCACTTGATCCCAAAGCAACTAGAACAACATGGGCTGACTCCTCAACAGATTCAGATCCCTCAGGTTACTACTCTGGACATCATCACCAGGTTAGTTGGCCATCCTGAGGCTTCATTAATATTTGAGTCTGAAAAGGGGATTATTTTACTGGCATCTCATAGCATCTGTTTCTTGTTTTCCAACAACTTCCCAGGAAGCACTACCATAACTTGCTTTACACAGCGCTCTGCATTAGGCAAAAAAGTATAAATTCTTACAGAAAGCATTCAGAATATCTTTATAGCTAAAGCCAGAATTTCTGCTTTGCCACAATAGCAATATAAGGGATTAATTTTATAAATTAAGAACCAAACATAAAAAATATAGAGACACTTTTTATGCCCAGGATCTTGAAAGTTGAATTCTCTTAAGAGGTGAGATGCTACTTTCAGATATCTGTTTAGGTTATTCAGATTTTCTTTTCTTCTCTTTGGCTGAGGGATTTCCTTAGAGGTTCTGATTTTTAGAATTAACATGGAAACAATCTAGAAGGTGCTTTCCTAAGTTTACTACCAAGTGCTTAACACCTGTAGCAAACAGTGCATAAATTATCTGAGTAGAGTATTGCTTACTATAATTTATAGATGCCCTATTTGAATAGAAAATGTACCCTGTACACAGCTTCTTAGAGTCTTCCTGGCTCAGTATTACGGTGCACTGCATCATCCAGAAAGGTGCCTCAGGCTGCCAAGCACTCCACGTGCTGCCCTTCTCTAGTGCCTGCTGACTTTCAAGAGATGTAAAGAATCTCTCCATTATTAACTTTGACTTAAGAGTTTGGCCAGTCTTTTGATCTATGCCAGCCTTCCTATGGGTCTATTTAGATTTATATACAAGACAGTAACTAAATCTGACCTGGGAGTTCCTTTCTTATTTTGTGATGTACTGTGTGGATAATGCCAGGAGAAATAAATCAGGTGATTTATGTGCTGTAGTCTTCCAGCAATATCATTATTCCATATAACACCCATGATGCCTTTGAGTGACTTTCAATAAGTTGTTCAGCCTTTTTGATAGCTTCTTCATCTGTAAAATATGAATGATATATTAGCATATATATACACACACACACACACATTATATATATATTAGCTTGTCTGAATCTTAGTAGTAATGATTCTGAAGAGTAATCATTATTTGTATTTCCTGATTGTTGCCTGGAGAACTATTTCTTTTTATATACTTGTTAACTCACAACATCAGATCTCAAAAGTTATGGACATTAGGAAATCTCTGAACAGTTTTGTTAATTTTGATAATTGTTTTTAAAAATAATACAGTTAGCTGGGCATAGCGGCTCACGTCTTTAATCCCAGCAACTTTGGAGGCTGAGGCTGAGGGCAAGGATCACTTGAGACCAAGGAGTTCAAGGACCAGCCTAGGCAATATAGCGAGACTCTATCTCCAAAAAAATAAGAACAATTAGCTGGGTGTGGTGGTATGTGCCTGCAGTCCCAGCTACTTGGGAGACTGAGGCAGGAGGATCTCTTGAGCCTAAAAGTTCAAGGCTGCAGTGAGCTATGATTGCACCACTGCACTCTAGCCTAGGCCACAGAGCAAAACCCATTTCTTTAAAAAAAAAAAAAGAAAGAAAGAAACAAAAACATCATAAATATTAACATATGCTACTCCAGGGACATTTTGTATATTTAGTGAATTACCAAATTTAGGACATAGAGTATCAGTTTTTGAGTTTTTCATCTTTTGGAGTGTTTCATGGTTATAGACCTTTAATGTCTTTCTCAACTTCCCAGTGTTAATAGCCTACTCGAATACTTCTGGTCCCAGGATGCTTAATGCTAACTAACTCTTGGTGAACGACTCTAATTGCTACAAAGATATTACTTATATTCACTTTCCTATAACCTTCTACTTCTGCCATGTAGGAGCACCTGTAAAGTCCTTCAGACATTAAAAAAAATATATTTTGTCAGGTCTATACCCCATAAATGTTCTCTTTTTCAAGCTAAAAATTCCTATTCTCTTTACCATTCCTCTTGGCGTGGTTTTAAGACTTTTCACCTTCTTGATTTGTTTTCTGATGGATCCTGTATCAATGTGCCTTTTATAGTGAGACACCCAGAATGGAACACAATATTTCAGTTGTAGCCTGAACAGTTCTGGTGTACCAGGAAGACTCTTACTCTGACTTTATTATTTTATGACTATATCTCTAGATTCTTAGCTTTTTAAAGATTATTCTCTTGCCTTTTTCATTGAATTTTAATGGTAAGCTTGGTATGTTCCATTCTACATTCATAGAGTTGAATTTTTTAAAGCCCAGATGTCAAAGTTTATAATTATATATATGTTATTGTTAGTTTTAGCCAGCTGATTATTTTATCTTAATTATCATCAAATATATTAGATTTATGTCCTCTGAAAATCAGCATTTATAGCATTTTTATGTTCACCTTATTATGAGAAACATCAACCAGTTCTTATTTGACCCTGGTGATTCCCTTTTTAGTTTAAAGATAGCAAATACGGATTGGTATGTTTACTTTGTTTGGCCAGTTGTTAGTTATATACTATCTGCATTACTTCCTAGCCCATTATTGTTCTAAACACATTTTTTAAAGAATATTTTTGTTGTTGTCCTTACTGTTTTTGGCAAGCTCCAATTCATTCTGCACTTCTTGGCTCCATCTTTGCATGTTCATGGCATGTTCATGAGCTTCCTCCGCCCTTGCTTTTATCTTTTGTCCAGACCCTTTAATTTGCACTGATCCAATAGTTCTCTAGGAAGCCATTTGGGTTTTTGGTTTTATTTTTAAATGTTGATTTGTTTATTTTTAAGATGCTTCTCTATTTTCTTATTGAAATTGTATGCAGTCATATATTAATAATATGGACTTTGTTTTATATCCTTTGATGCCTTTGATTGAAGTGAGTTTTACTTTAGAGTATTTAGCTAAGACCTTTTATCTGTCTTTTCTCAGAACATTTAAAATCTGCTTCCCTAAAATCGACCGTGTATGTCTGACTGCCTAATCAAATCCAGTTTTTTAGATAAAACTGCACTCTGATGCTGTTCATTCAAGCCCATCCAAAGCTGGGTAGACAGAAATGGTTGTACTCTATAATGGTTTATGGAATGACTTATAGAATTTGATTGTAACACAGATGTTTTTTAAGCAGATCTGCTTAACCACATGTAGAATCTTTTTCACAACATCACAGTGCTTGCATTACTTAGGATACTTTCTTCCTTTAGAAATCTTCACAATGAAAATACACTGAATGGAGGTGATTAGCATAGTTCCTATTAATAGTAAAAACAAGATTTCTGTCTCAGATTCATTTTTTATTTAGTTCAACAACAAAGAGTGCAGTTTCTCTGATTCTTTCAGCAATATTTCAAGTACAGTAAATTTATCTAGAATTTTCTTAAATTGACAAATTTTTTAAAAACTCTTAAACATAACAGTAAAGAGTAAATGTTGTTTTATGTGCTACCAAATTTACTTTGGCAATATAAATTAAACAAAGATTCATTTTTAGGTATAGGGGAATAGTCCAAGATTCATGCATAAAGGAAATAGTTGTGGCTGAAAATACATCTGAATATTTAAGAAATAGCAATACTTTAATCAGAAGTTTTAAGTGTGGAGAAGTTCGTACTCAAGAAAGGGTAATGAACTTTTAAATGTACACTGTTTCTTTAGTAAAAATGTTAATTATATTACTTCTGTCAGTACAGGTGGTATTTAGCCAAAAAATATATATATATATGGCCAAAAATATATATATTTTTTGATGACAGGTACACCAGAGAGGCAGGGGTTCGTTCTTTGGACAGAAAATTCGGGGCCATTTGCCGAGCTGTTGCTGTGAAGGTGGCAGAAGGACAACATAAGGGAGCCAAGTTGGACCGTTCAGATGCATCTGAGGGAGAAGGTTCGTGACCTTGTTTTGGTGCTCTAAGGCCTACTGGCTAGGAGTGAATGACAAAATAAAGTTGGGTGTAGAGGGGTAGACTTGGGTAGTCCTTGGAGCAGTGGCACATGCTATTCTACTGTTAAATGCATCCAGTAAGTAATATCTTAATGTTTGATATATTTTTATCAAGAGGATTCTCTTTTACAAATAGCAGAGTTTTAACTGGAATAATACTCATTATTAATGCTTTCAGGATATAGTAACTTTCTCCAGCTTATGTATGGGTTCTCTTGTTTCTTTCTGATTCAGACAGTTGTTAAGTCTTTGAATAATTTATAACATGAAAAGTTGTTACAACATTAAAAAGATCCAAGCTGGCCAAGTACTGCAAGGGCAAATCTTTGTACCCTACAGTAGCACACATGCAATAATTTGTTTTTCTCACACATTTTCTTTTTAGGCACACAATTAAATGTAACAAATTTTTCTTCTTAAAAAAAATTGTAGGGGTGGCGACATGAGGAGGATTCCATTACTAGAATTAAATGTGAACATTACCTTTGATACCCAGTTAAAATGTTTTAACTTCTTGCCCCAGAACTGTAAGGGGTCTCAGTTCATCATACCATGCTGTTATGTAGTTTGCCAAAACCTGCTTTAACAAACATGACTTGAATAGTAGGGAACTGAAAATTTCTTTCATAGTAGAGATTTATTAGATGTTCTACCGTTTCTATAGCTCTTTCCAGAAAGGAGCTGGGTGAATATGATTAAAAAACCATAATTAGTGGTTGGGTTGGTAGAACAGTTGCAGTTAAATATCTTCCTTGTTTTTCTTTCTGTTGCTGAGCACAGCGCGTTTAACTAACAGCAATGGCATCACGGAGTAGAGGCTCACATAATCCTCCAGGTTCTAGTATGGTGCTTCACCCCTGCCCTGCATGTGCCCAGAACCTCACTGGTTTGTTTTCCCTCGAGAGGAAACCTCCTGTCTTCTTTTGAAGTGGCAGTGCCCTCATAATGTGGAGTCAAGGTGGGAATAAGGAGCTCTGTTTCTTATCCAGACTTTATACTTTGTTTTCAGTCCCGCTCTTCACCCACACTTTCTGTGGTCCTTGAATTCCTGAGCTTTTGTAGGATTTCATGGCTGAAACCAACTTGCCATTGTTGATCCTCCACTCTCAACCCCACAGACATTAAGGTTTCTGCTTTCTCTAGTCTGCTAAGTGTTTCTTACTTTTTCTGTCTACTTTATGTTTTCCAAAATTTTGTCAGCATCTTTTATCAGCTATTGTCTTCTTTCTTATTCTGTTCTTGTGGGTTTATACTTTTTTTATTTTTTAATTGCCATTTTAGTGGGATTTAGAGACAAAGTATAGAGATAAATACATTTCAGACTACCACTTGTAGAAATACGAATTTTTAAAAAGTGTCTTAGGTGATTGAGTACCTGCCAAGAATGGAAATCACTGATGTAGCTGATAGTCACAGTAGAGAACTGAGCTCTCAAGGTAACCCCTAGATCTACTTTGTACAATGGCCTCAAGCAACTGAGGCTATGTCTCTTTGTTCTTGTCTCTGATATAATAGAAAGATAGAGGATGAAATAAGTTTGTCTAGTTAATACATTTTGAAAATTGTGTTTAAGATTTAAATGTATTTTAGAATTTATAATAATACATTCAGAGGGATTCAATGTCAAGGGAAATATTCTATAGTTACACATTGCTTAGTGTTTATACATACATCCATTAGCATATTTCTAGTAATATCCGTGATCATATTAGCAATTTAAGAATAAGACAGATATTCAAGGACTTGTTCAAACAGCTTGTGAACTTTGTGAGAACATACAGTTTTTCATAGTAACATTTATTTGTTGTTTTATGTTTGTTTTTTTTAATTTAAATCCATGATTCACAGAGCATCTCCTAAAAGATAGCGTAGTTAAGCAGATTTGGATAGTTAAGATATTACCAAGGACATCTAGACAAATGAATAATTAGGATAAATATTTATCTCTTAAGGTTAATTTTGGTTATAGTCTTTATTAGAGGCATAGATATGCATTCCAAATTGGTTCAAATATTGTAAGATACCCTTTAGTCACTGTAAACAACTGTCCTTCAGATTTTAGTAGAATAATTATAAGTTATCCCAAATTGGTGTTCATGGCCCTAACCAAGCCAAAAGAAAAATTTCTAAAGAGATGTCTACATTAGATTTTCATGCCACAAAGTTCATATGGAACTTAGTAATGAAAGTTTCTCATTAAAAAATGAATTATTTAAAGTTAGAGTATAAAGCAAAACAGTTTTAGAAATTTCAAGTAATGCAATGTTGGGAAGATTTTTGTTGTTGTTGTTGTTAAAAATAATACTGGAGTTACTGCCAGGAAGAAAAGTAATTTTAGGTCACAAGTTTCAAAACAGGGAGAAACCTCCAGTATGTGTCAAACAAACTTTTCGAAATAAGCCCCGAAGCACTGGTCCGTGGACAATTATTTTTATATTTGTGGGGTCTTAACTGGCGGTTAAATAGACCGAATAATATCAAGGAGTTTTAAAGGGAGGTGAGATTTATAACAGATCTGTGTTAGAGGAGGAATATTTATGGTTTTGGTTACCTGCCTATAAACTATGAGAATTTCTTTAAAAGCAAGACTTCCTATGTTTTTCTGCATTTTATTAGTGTTTTCTGAATTGCCCTTGACCTTTCTGGGTTATTAGTTGGGTTGAGGAATTAGTTCGATTATGTGATTGAAGTTTTATTCTGCTTTTTTCTTGTCTTTAGCCAAGACACAAATGTTCTGTGTGTTCAATTTTTCATACTTGGGTGTTTCTTTGTAAAGAGTTAGGCAAACATCCATTTGTTCAAGTACTCAGGTACCATATATGTACAATTAATCTCTAGTAAGACTTTTCCTCAAAGATTATCTTCAGCAAAGGAGGATTCATATTATAATCAGTCCTTATAAAGTTTCCATATGGAGCATGCTCACTATATTTTTGAACAATATAGTATTTATTAGAAAAGCTGCATTAAACTTGAAAGAACCTCAGTAGATATAAGTTTTTGATTTTTCTCATAGAAGTCACCTGAATAATTGGTTAGAAAGAAAAAGACAAAATTAATACAGATTTAACAGTCATTCATGAAATGTGTTAGGTGTCATTATAGAGAAGCTTTTTAAATATCATTTACATACTGTAGGTGTTATGTTATGGAGATCTCACATATACACTTATAGGAAAAATGAATTAAATTAGCTAACTTACATTAAGTGAATGGTACTTTGGGTCTGGGATAAAATTTCCAGTGGCAGCATCATACATAGTTTCAAGAATTACTGTATCTCAGATAATCTTGGTATCTGGTAGTCTGCCACCTTTGTTCTTCTTCCACATTTCCTTAGCTATTATAGGTCCTTTCAGGTATCCATATAAGTTTTAAAAATCAGCTTGTCAATTTCTGCCATTAAATAAGTAAATAAATAAAACCTGATATTTTGATTATGATTGCATTGAATCTATAAATCTACTTGGGGATAATATCAGTTGACAATTTGGTATTTTTAAGTATTCTAATTCATGACTAGCCTCATTTAAGTCATCTTAAATAAATTTTTTAGTATTTTAATAGTTTTCAGTGGCACACTTTTACATATTTTTCCTTGTTTTATTATTTATTTATTTGTTTGTTTGTATTTTGAGACAAGGTCTTGCTGTGTTGCCCAGGGTGGTGTGCAGTGGCTATTCACAGGCATGATAATAGTGCACTGCAGCCTTGAACTCCTGGGCTCAATCGATCCTCTTGCCTCAGTCTCCCGAGTAGCTGGGACTACAAGCATGCGCCACCATACGTATTTTTTCTTCAGATATATTTCTATGTATTTGATCTGTGTGTGTATATTATTTATAGATAGAATTTTTAAATTTTCTAATTATTTTGTTGCTAGGATATAGGAATATTATATTGACCTTGCATTCAACAAACTTGCCAAATTGACTTATTAATTCTAATTATTTATAGATTCTTACAGATTTTCTATGTATACCCTCCTATCATCAGAAATGCAAATGTCAGTTTTTACTTCTTTTCCAAACATTATACCTTTTATTTCATTTCTTCCCTAATGTACTATCCAGGACCTCCTAGAAAATGATGAATAGGAATAGTGATAATAGACAAAGTAAGCAGAAGAAAAGCCTATGAAGAAATTACCAAGTGAAATAGTCTTTGTTTTGTAGCTTTATGTCACCCCTCATCACCTAATTGACTTATAAAATCTTAGTTCAGTAGAATTCTCAGAAACTGTCTAGTTTGACCCTGATTTGATTCGTAAATGCCTTCTCAACATTCTCCAATAAACACTTGCCTGTTTGACTCTGTTATCAGACAAGTAGGACAGACTTTCATGTGGCTATGATTTTATTTGTTTATTCACCTTGGGATTTGCTGCTGTAACAGGATACCACAGACTCGGTAATTTATAATGAATGGAAATTTATTGGCTCACAGGTCTGGAGGCAGAGAAGTCCAACATCAAGGTGCTGGCCTCTGCCTTCTTGCTGTGTCATGAAATGGCAGACGACCAAAGAGAAAACAGAGCCCGAACTCACTTAGGACATTAATCCCACCTATGAGGGTCGAGCCTTCATGGCCTAATCACCTCTTAAAGATCCTACCATTGAATGTTGTTACAATGGCAGTTAAATTTTTTTTTTCTTACACATTCCATGCACGATGAGAAATGGCAGTTAAATTACAACATGCATTTTGAAGGGGGCAAACATTCAGACTATAGCATTGACCTTTGTGAATTTGTAGACTAAACTCTTTCATTAGTTTTAGAAAAAATTTGGCCATTATCTTTTCAGATATTCTTTCCAGTCTTTTACTTTTCCTTCTAGGATTTTGAGAAGAGACCTTGTAACTCTCTTGTCCTCTGTTCTCTTTTTTTCTTTAATTTTTCTCTCTAATTCAGTTGGGATATTTTCTGCTACCCTCTCTATTCC